GTGAGCAGGACGAGGATTGAGGACCCTCGTCTTGTCAACAGATATTATGAGACAACATTCAACAGTTCTCCGAGCAAATACATCCAGCAAGGCTTGGAGCCTGAGTTTGGTTTGTGTCATAATGCAGATATCATCAGCATAGCATATTACGGCTTCGTTTGGCTGAACTGGAATGTCAGCAATAAGCTTGTGCATCAGTATATTAAAGAGCATGGGACTGAACACTCCTCCCTGAGGCGTGCCCAGCTCAAATGATCTCATTCTGGTACTTTTAACTCCCCTAAACAGAACACTGGCATACCTGTTGGACAGATAACCTTTTAGCTTCGAGTACCCCAAGAACTTATTCCTCAAGAAACAAACAGTGCACTTCAAGTCCTTCAGTTTCTCAAGTCTCTAAATGGTTCCTTCCCTAAGGCAGAAATAGCATATCGGATTTTATTGACAGTTCCAGTCACAGTGGCATCAGGGGAATGGAGTTTTTCCAAGCTGAAATTAATAAAAAAATATCTAAGAACAACTGTCTCAAGAGAGATTGAATGCATTGGCTATGCTCTCCATCGAAAAGGAACTAGCAGAAAGTTTGGAATATCAAGATTTAATAGCAGAGTTTGCTGCAGTGTAAGTTAGGAAATGGGGTAATTTAATCCCCAGGTAAGAAGGGTTGGTTCAGGCCAAGGTTGGGTCAGAAGATTATCCCCAGTTGACAGACGGCTTGGGTCAATCAGCCTCCACGCCTATATATTGTGTAATAGTCTCTTTCATTACCAATTGAGAAGGGATCGTGATGAGCCGAAACTGTATTAGTGTTTATATATATATATATATATATATATATATATATATATATATATATATATATATATATATATATAATATTCAGAAATTTCAGAGTAATTTCAAATGCCCCGCCATTAGCGATACTGAGCGTTCAAGGTCATCTGAGGGGAGAGAGCGCTGCCTGCTCATAGCGAGAGATTGCGGAACTAGGCCTATATGATATTAAATGTAATTTACCGAATTAATAATGATGCGATTCATGAAGTAAGGGACTATTATTGAATTTGAAATTATTATAGATCGTTTATCAGTCTGAATAATGTTACGGGTGTCCCAAGGAGTTATTAGTTAGGCGGAAAATATGTCACGTAGGCCTAAGCTAACGCCTTGAGAGACGCGACGCTGGCTCCCTCAGTCGCGGGGAGCATTCACACAGACAAGACGTCCCTGCGCGTCTGTCACAGAAATAGTCACGTGGCCTAGTCACCTGTGCTGCGCTATTGCAGTATAACAAGTAAGTCTCATTCGATCTCAGACAGGGTTAGATAGGGCAGTGGTAAAGTTAACTAGAGCTAACAGTGAGTTCATTTCAGGGTTTCCGTCAGAACCCACTTGACTGGAGTTGACCGGAGTTGACTGCGAGAGATTGACTGCCGTTTGAGACTGCCGTTGATGATTGAGGGTGGCGATTGTCGCCATTGGACCGATCAGTGTAGGCCTGTCACTGTTTAGCGGGGTAGCAAAGGATCTCTTGAGTGAACGAGTGCTCCCGACAACTAAAACGACGGGACCAGCATCCACAGTGGGTGATCAGTTCTTACCACTCGGGTGCACAACACCACATGTCCCGAGCAGCTTAGTGAAACCCTCTTGCTAACGGGAAGCTAAAGTTTCTCTCAACTGTACAAGGTCTGATTGGCTCACTCCCTTCCGCTTTATGGACGCACTGGGAGTACACTGAGGCTATCTGAGTAAACTAATGGTCACACACTGAGACCGTGAGTCTAGGTCTCTAGGAGATACCTAGAGGAACATCTTCCCTCCCTTATTACGGGTGTAGTTAACACCATTCCTCAGACTGATATTATCTTGACGTGTGTAGTTTAATAGTCCTAAATTATTTTGATAGTATTGTTTTTGAATGTTTGTGCCATTAAGTGGAACCAGAGTGATACTGTGATTTGATTCTTATAATGCATCTAATTGTTCTTCATAATTCTGATCTCAGGTATAACCTTGTTCCTCAGAGTAGTGATTAAGTTAGGTTAGGAAGTGTGCATCTGTTGGGGTGCTATAATTTTGTTGAAAGCCCTTTAGGCCTATTCATTGTAGAGTATTTAATTTCTTATTTTTTATTACCATTTCCTCAGTGACTGATATTATTTTGTTGAAAGCCCTTAAGGCCTATTCATTGTAGAGTAGTTAATTTCTATTTTTTTTAATACAATTTCCTAAGTGACTGATATTATTTTGTGAAAGCCCTTAAGGCCTGTTTCATGTGTGCAAGCAACATTTCTTAATACTTCAAATTTATTGTTGCCTGAGTTTCTAATAATTTCTATATCATGTATAACTTTTATTCCCCAAAATAGTGTTGTAAGTTCAAGTTTAGAGGTGCGCATATTGGTGTACCATTATTTGATTGTGTTTGTAGTTTTGGAGGGAATATAAGTGTCAAAATTTTACAGTGTGTCTCATTCATCCCAGTCACAGACGCTATCCTTCCACGGGTCACGGACAATTCATTTTGTTTAGTAGATTTAAGTGTTCTTGTGCTGGTTCGGGATTTTTCTCAAAGGGGCGCTTCCACTGCCATTACCATCTATTAAATTTTAATATACCCCAAGTCAAGTGAGAAATTAAAGTCCAGTAAATTCAGATCGGTTATATATATATATATATATATATATATATATATATATATATATATATATATATATATATATTTCATTAACAATAAACAGAGTCAAGGAGTGCCTTTATTATCCCGGTTAGCGTTCCCCGGTCACAGTTTTTTAACTTCGTGGGCCGTGGGTTCGAATCCTGGCGGGCTGAGGTGTTGATTGTATGTATATATATATATATATATATATATGTATATATATATATATATGTTTTTTTTTTCTGGGGTCCCGCAGTGGCTGAGTTGCCCAGGGCCCCGCACCCTCCTAGGGACGGCCCTGATGTACTTAGAATTGGTGTTTCGAAGATTTCCCTTAAGAATATATTAACAGTTAAATAACGAACCGGCCACGCGACCAAACTTTCCTCACTTTACATCCTACAACTATAACTTCTTCCTATACTTTCTACACTTAATTTACCTGTATTACACCATCATCACCACACACCATCACTACCACACACCATCATCACCACCATACATCATCATTACCACCATACACCATCATTACCACCATATTCCATCATCATTACCACCACACGCCACCACCACACACTATCATCATCACATACCATCATCACCATATGCCATCACCACCATACACCATCATCACCACCACACGCCATCGCCAACACGCCATCACCATCACACACCATCACCACCATATGCCATCACCACCACACAGTAACACACCATCACCATCACACACCTTTATCACCACCACCATCACACACCTTTATCACCACCACCATCACACACCTTTATCACCACCACCATCACACACCGTCACCACCACACACCATCATCACCAAACAATCACTACCACACACCAACATCACCACGCACCATCATCACCACCATATGCCAACACCACCATACACCGTCATCACCACCATACACCATCATTACAACACACCATCATCACACACCCTCACCACCACCCTGATCATCACCATGACCACAACCATCACGCTCATCAATACAATAATCACGTCACCAACACCACACACCCAAGTATCTGCTATAATAACAGCGCCTTTGGTATTAATTCCCTGATTGGCACCCTGACTGAGTCCTGTCCGTGTATGTATATAACAATGATTACTGGTGTCGTCGCACCAGTTGTCGGCGGTGACCTGAAGGTGAAGGGGAACCAGGATAACACGTCAACAGCCAACAAACCATTCACGTAGGTAGGCAAGAGAGGTCGTTTTCATATATATTAATTGTTCTGTTTAATTTTTACTGGATTTTCAACTAGACTGTACGAACCCTACAGAAAAAAAATAAGTGTACTATACCAGACGAACGAATTTCGTAAATGAATTAATTTATTTTTTTAACAAAATTCAAATACCTTTTTCATTTTGTTCAGATGAGTAAAAATTGGAGGGCGAGGGTGACTGTGCTGACCAGTTTTCTGGATTTTTTTTAAACAAAAAGGAAAATAATGGCTGATCAATTAGATACGAAAATATAATGAGAGAGTTATTACTGGGTAAAACTGAGAGCAGGGGATAGTAGGTATTGAGATGTGGAAAGAAATCAAAAGGTGTTGCCCCGGTGAGGTAGAAAATCAGGAAGAATTGGTAAAGACAACCCGATAACGCTTCGGGTAGAAGGTCTAGGTGGCCTTGGTCGCCAACCCTCAGATAATCAATGATGATATATTTTATTTTAATTGGGTGCAAAGAGGATTTAAAAAAAAAGGTGTCATCATTAACTAAAAATAAATTTTAGTAATTTTGATGAATTGTGAAATATAGTATTTGTAATTTGGTCCTTACAGTATTGTATTGTGGAAAAGTTTAAATCAATTCGGTGTTATATTTATCACAGCGTTATACCACTAATATATATATATATATATATATATATATATATATATATATATATATATATATATATATATATATATATATATATATATATATATATATATATATATATATATATTTTTTTTTTTTTTTTTTTTTTTATGTATGCGTATCCTCGTTTTGAAGCTGACTATATATCTAAACAGGAAACACCAAGAGAAAAAAAACTGGCGTTAAATTTGTTTGAAGCTTCAACGCACCTGTTGAAGGAATCTAACACCAGTCGTGGTGAAGGTCCGGTGTGTGGTGACCTGCGGGAGACAGAAGTATATACATGTATAGTATTGTAAAATACATTAAATAAAATTTTTATGTAAGAGGGTATAATATATGCTTTAAGTTATTATTAGCATTTGCTACTGATATCTAAGCATACATTCATAAAAAAGTGTCAAATATGCAAGAAAAAGAATTAACCTAAGTTTTCTTCCAACAGACTGAGCGAGGTTGTGCCAGCTGAAGTAGTGCCAAAGATGAACATTAAACACGTAAGTAAAATGTTGAACAGTTGAGCATCACGAGAAGACACAGGTGTGGTTTATTTGGTCTTGATTACCTTGACTAATATATATATATATATATATATATATATATATATATATATATATATATATATATATATATATATATATATAAAATCAACACCTCAACCCGCCAGGATTCGAACCCACGGCCCACGAGCCCATGACTGTGACTGGGGAACATTAAATCATGTGCTATTGGGCTAATGAAATATATATATATATATATATATATATATATATATATATATATATATATATATATATATATATATATATATATATATATATATATATATGAACTACGAATATGTAATCTATTTAATATTTAAGCTATTGTTAATTCAAAATACTTAAGAAAATTGTACAGTTAGTCAAAATTATTAATGTGTTCTTTTATTATCACTGTACTTGTTAATTGTGTCTCTAATCTACTTAATGTATAATAATAAAAGAGAGTTCTCGTAACCTTACTTTGGTCAATCTCCTGAGATTCGAATTAGTATGCAGAATGAATTAATACGAGGCGCTGTGAATCAATGTTGCTATTTAGCTTCACTCTGTGTACTGCTTCTGTTAGTTGAGGATATGACCAAATATGTATGGATATTTTTACCTGTTGTCTCAGCTCGTTTTTGTCGCTTTCCACGCTTTGCGAGTCAGTTTCCCTACTATTTATCCCCTTGATCCACGCAGCAGTATAGGAGAGGAGTAGCCTTATGATATCAGACAAAAGTGAACGGAAATAAAGTCACAGGAAAAAAGTCACATGATTTGTACACATTGACAATACAATATATATATATATATATATATATATATATATATATATATATATATATATTATATATTATTTATATATATATATATATATATATATATATACATATTCACACACACACACACACACACACACACACACACACACACACACACACACACACACACACACACACACACACACACACACACACACACACACACACACACACACACACACACACACACACACACACACACACACACACACACACACACACACAGTTACACACACAGATATCGACGTGAAGACCTTAGCTTTCGTCTTTAATCAAGACATCTTCAGAGGCAACTGAAGATGTCTTGAATAAAGACGAAAGCTAAGGTGCTCCGTTGTTTCCCTTTTCTCGCGTGATTTTATCAAAATTTATCTTATCCACGTTTTCATTGTGGATCTACATGAAATAAATAAATATATATATATATATATATATATATATATATATATATATATATATATATATATATATATATATATATATATATAAGTTAGGTTAGGTTTTTTCCGTGCCTTTTTTCTGACTTTTTTCTTAATTAGCCCCGCGTGTCTTTTTGTCTCTCACAACAGGTGATGGTGATGGCGATATTGGTGGCTGTGTTGTTGTCGGAGGTGTTGGGGGCGCCATTCATCATCACCAGAAGGAACATCACCAGAAGGAGAGACTTCCCTGGACAGAGGTTTTTTGGAGCGACTAACTACGGCACTCACAGCTTCGGCAAGAACGGTTATGACGGCAGACCCTTGGCTAGTGAGTACTGTACTGTTATGTCTCTCTCTGCTGACTTAAAAATTCGCCTTTTAAATAAACCCTAGAAGTGAAATATACATCGTTGACACCCAGCTCGCTTGGCCGTCCTTAAACATAGATTCTAAGTTATTTGTGTTTTGAGATCGGGCATAATTGTTTGTGAAAGATATTCAATAAGTACACAGTATATGTTTAAAATCACACACACACACCCATATATACTGTATATAGCCTGGTTATGAAGACTTTCAATTATTTATTATATTTTTCTATCCACAGGACGAAACAAATTCCCTTCAAGAAGTAAAGTATTTCGTTGTTTGTGTCTACATCTTTTGTTTTTCATCCAATATTATTTACCGGAGAAAAAATAAAGTAAATATTGATTATAGTTTTGCATGAAAAATGTTTGACACCGTTTTTATCTTATCTTTCTTTCCACAGGGCGAACCAGATATCCTCACCATCATAACAGAGGTAAAGTCTCTTAATGTTTCTCTCTGTCATTTACTATATTGACTGGAGGACATATTATAAGACATATTGGTCATATTTTTACCTGAAGTTTCAGGCTGGTTCTTTGACCTTTGCGTCCAAAATTAGAACAGTTAAAGTGTATACTTATTTTTTCTCTTAGTCTCGTGTAGTCCGCCTTCCTACATCACCAGATCACTCATTACAATTACATTAATCTTTACCTTTTTTGTCAGTTGTTGGAGACAGCCTATTGACGACTCATTAAAAGTTTCAACATTTATTCTTATTTCTGTATCTTTTTAATCGGCATTATATTACCCCATTCTCACATAATTTCTCTCCTTTTCTTTCCAGTTTCTTCCTGGTACAACCGGCGAGGTAATGTATCTCCTATTATCTGTAACCTATACATCTAATATAGAAAGAAAAATAACCTGCATACTATGAACAAATTAAGCCTTTCTCCTCTCGTGCACCAATGAACAGTTTTTTGTTAAATAAAGTACAGTAGAGTCTGGCGAGATATCACGTTTCTTTTCAAATTTAGTTTTATTATTGAAAAAAAAATGTTCAAATAATGCTTAAAAAACTGATGACTGGAAGTGCTGTGTGTGTGTGTGTGTGAGGAGCCACTAACCTTATCCTTAGTCCACTCAAATATTATTAATCATTCTATCTACGTTTACTATTCTCATTTTCTCTCTTTATATCATCCAATTATTGCTCCTTTGTTTCCCTTTCCCTTCAACTCACGCCACTTGTTCTTTCTAGCTGTCATTATCTACTATTTCCATGGTTTTTCCTTTTTACTTTCTGTTCAAATTGTCATAGAGGTGGAAGAAAGAAAGAAATTAAAAGTTATAATTGACATATAATCATACATCATGCATACCACACAACATGCATCATACATAATACACAACATGCGTTTTACACGACATACATCAAACATATTACACAACATACAAAATATACATCATACATATTGCACAACATACACAAGGAAAAATATATACACACAGTGGATACACATTTATTTATACTCAATGGGTTGCGTGTCATGTGGCAATTATATCTAGCTAACTTTATATAAATATTAGTTACTACTTCAATATGTTACAAAATTTTTACCTTAAATTATTCATTGATCTTTGTAAGACTTGGTGTGGTAATATCGACATGTTTTGTGCAATAATGAAGGTGACGTTTACTAATAATTTCTTTTTCCACCAGGATATAGGAAGTGGTACGTTGGTTAAGCATGGTGGGTGTTGGGTACGAGGATTCTTACATCTGTACCCAACCACGAGGCCTAATAGTATACATCTATGCCCAACCAACCACCATTTTTGTTGAGTCCGAAGCTTAATACATCTGTGCTCAATCATCTATTATTTTTGGGGGGTTCTAAGGCCAATGTACTTATCAACAACCTCAACCTCCAACCAACCATTTTCTTTTTAAGTTCAAAGTCGAGTGTACCTAATGAATCTGTACCCAACCACCCTTCATTTTCTGTTGAGTTCGGGCTGAAGACTAATGTATACCAGTTAACAACCTCACATAATTTCTATTGAATCTGATGCCTAAGACATTCACAAATTCGTATCTATACCATGATGAAATTTGAGGTATATTGTGAAATAAAGACATTAAGTAAATATATGTAGTAATCTGTCATAAGAAGCATTGTTATCAGGGCCGGGGTGCGGGGCCCGGGGCAACTCAGCCACTGCGGGGCCCCAGGACAAGACACAACCTGACCTCACTGGTTACTGACCCTGGTGGACTGGCTGTGTGGAGTGGAGTGCAATGGATTATGGAGTCAGGTTATGCGGTCAGAGGAACCCACCCCAACCAACCCCCATGAGACTGTCGCTATGGATGGTAAGGTCACGGTTGCCATGGTGGCGTAAGCCGTCAGGTCAGATTAACCAGTCAACAGGTAATGTGTCCGAGGTCACTGGGTTTAGTGCTGGGCCCCGCGGGGCCCCCACACGAGCGGGGCCCCGGGCGGTCGCCCCTGTTCGCCCCCCCCTAAAGGACGGGCCTGATTGTTATATTTGTTATTTTGAACAATTAATTATCATATATTGTTGTCAGGGTTGATTAGGTTTCTATAATTGTTGTAATGTTAATTATATATAATGTTAATAATTTTTTCTATTACTGTCGGGATTTATGTCTAAAATTTGTTATGTATTGTTAGTTCTCTATATCTGTTATGTCTGTTGTATAAGTATTTCTAGCGTCCTAATAACGTACAGATACAACCAGGAAGCGAACTCTTATATTTTGTACCAGTTTTATATGATTTTTTGTTGTTGACCAGGCAATACACTATTATGATTATTAATAGAATTAATTTCAATTTCCGCTTCCGTGTTGGCGACAGTTGGCGGTTCGCGGATAACTGACTGGTAAATTCTTATTTGTTATTACGGCACTTGTAATATTTGTGACTTTACAAATAAAAGAGCACTGGTAGCTGGAATGAGGAAATTGGGATAAAAATAATTGCGAGTCATTCAGAGACAAATATGAAGCCGCATCTTATTTCTTTCTGTGATACCAATCGTAGATGTCGATATTATAATGTATCACAGCGCTTTAAAACAACTAAGGTCTTTTAAGGTTGTATTTAGGTTTGTAAATATATTATTTTTTGGTCAATACTTAAAAGTTCAGAAAGATGGACTTCGTGTGAGCGACCACTACTGTATTTGTAAGAGGCTCAGTAAGATGGTAATATGGCCTCTCCCTGCGATAACTCTTGACATTTTCATAGTACAGTACTTGTTTGTTTTTTATTGCTAAATTATCGTCTTCCGGTTCTTTAGTTTCTTTATGCCTGTTGTATCATAACGTGTGTGCAGTTCTAGGAGCGACTGATTTCTAAGTATAATTTTTAATTCCAGGTGCGTCATAGTATCGTAATAATTCCAGTATTTTTCTTGTTACACGTTAATGATCTCTCAGTGATAAACTACCCAATTCATTATTATACACGTGATTCAGCTCATAGATTTTCCACTGTGGCCGCCCCAGTTATACAAAGAATCAATATTAGCAATTTTACACACTCCTCTTTCTTACAGTATAGCATTTTACACACACAGCTTTTACTTTTTTTTTACTTCTATCCTCTTCACCACTGATCGGCTCGTTAGCCTCTTGGGAGATCGGTTACGTCTCTGTTACGCACTGTCGGCAAGTACTGGGCATGCACTGGCTCCTGAATGTATCTGAATCTGCTCCAGTGTTGGTCAAGTCTGGTCTTGAAAGAGCTCATACTCGGTGCCGTCACAATAATCTCTGGCATATTGTTCCAAGAGTTCACAGCACTCACTCCGAAAAAGTTACCCCTCACAGTTTTCTGGGCTTGCTGCTTCTTCAAACTTGAGCTGTGACCTCTTGTGGGGCGAGCGTCCGCCAGCTCCAGGTAAGGACTCTAAACTGAGTAGTGCCCTTTGGGATGTTTATACACCTCAATTAGGTCCTCCCTTACCCTTCTGTAGTATAAGCGAGGCAATTTCAGGCGCTCTAATCTCTCTGGGTAGCTGAGGTGCCGCAGTGCAGGCACCAGTCTGGTGGCCCTTCCTGTGGACATTTTCAATCGACTGACAATCCAGCATATGTCGAGGATCAGACAGTTACTCCTAGTGGGGCAACTACACTAGTAACCTTCATGGCGCAGTGTCTAGGATCTGTGGACTTACTAAGTGTGTGAACAATGCCGACAGTTACGTCTGCCGGTGATGCGCGTCGACTCAGTGTGTTGTGTTGTGTTGCGCTGTGTTTCGCCGCGATGTGCAGTGTTGCGCCGTCACAGTGCGTTTTAGTGACGGTGGCAGTGTTAGTGTCAGTGTATTAGTGTGTGTCTAGAGCTAAGTTGAGCATTGGCCTGTCTTTTTTTGTGGTACCCACGGAGCACGCAGGCGTACACCCTTCTCGTGCGACATCCGGGGGACACTGACGGTCTTGCCGGACCACGCAGCTGTCCACGCTCCCTCCGCTCTCTCAGACACACACACGCACGCACGCACGCATTCACTCACTCACGGACAGAACAGCGGACCATATGCGTGATTTTCGCGCTGTTTATGTCATATATATGTGGTTCGAGCTGTTGAGGCGCCACTTTATATATTAAACAGTGCAGTCCACGCACACACAAAGATGGGAGGTAAGAAGGGACAACGTCAAGATGGGAGACACGACTCCCCACCACCTTCCCCTCCACCCGGCGCAGACTCTCATCCTCCACCTCCTGTGACGGACATTGCCACAATTCTGAGGTGGATGGACGACCGGGACGAGCGACGTAGAGAAATGGATTTTCAGAGGGAGGAGACACGAAGAGTGGAGGAAAAGTTGCGTTTTGAGGCACTATTGGCGACCCTGGCGCTAACCCACCCTCCCTCACTCGCAGGTAGCGCGCTTCAAGGCACCAGTACACTCCCTCCTCCACCACACCAGCGTCCTCCAGCTCCCAAGGCATCTGTTCAACCCCCACCCGCCCTCTCACCAGACGTCACGTTTCAGCTTTTTCGTGAGTGGAGGCGGCGTTGGACAGATTACTCCACGATGGTGGACCTTGACAGCATGCCTCCAAACAAACAGCTCATCCAACTGCGGATGTGTTTGTCGCTGGAGACCCAGAGAGTTTTGGAGCACACGTTGCACGTGCCTCCCGACTCTACCTCTTCAGTGACGGATGTGCTCGACCTTTTACAGGAGCACGTTAAGGGTCGGAACAACGAGGCTTTGCGTCGCCGTGCCTTTACCAGCTGCAAGCAGGCGGAGAACGAATCCTTTGACGACTTTTTTGTACGTTTGAAGAGTTTGTCAGAGGAGATCGACGTCTGCAAGGCGCACAGCCGGGAATGTGAGGAAGCCTGGATCAAGCACGGGATCTTGACAGGTGTCAGGCACGAAGAGTTGATGCAGCGACTCATCCCCCTGGACGCTTCCTCCACACTCCAGGTGGTAGTGACTGAATGTCGGTCATACGAGGCCACCAAGTCCGCCACCTCTGCCTTATGGGCCCCACCTGCTGT